CACCAAACAGCGCCTGCGTCGCGTCAACGACGAGAGGCGTAGGGCCATAGGCGAGGAGATCGCAAACTCCTGGCAGCCAGATTCATCAGAGAGGTATACCACTCCGACTGGCTTGCCAATCCTGTTCTTGTTAAAATGAAGACCGGGAAATGGAGAATGTGCGTTGATTATACTGGCCTCAACAAAGCGTGTCCAAAGGATCATTTTCCTTTGCCGCGCATAGACCAGATAGTCGACTCTACCTCGAGATGCGAGATCCTCTCCTTTCTGGATGCCTACTCAGGCTATCACCAGATCACGATGAAAGAATCCGATCAGCTCATAACCTTGTTCATCACCCCGTATGGTTCGTACTACTACATAACCATGCCTTTCGGCTTGAAGAATGCTGACGCCACCTATCAATGGTGCATGCAGCAATGCTTCGCTGATCAAATCGACCCACTCGACCAACCTGATCAAGTCGACCGGCCAAAACCAACAATCGCCGTCTATGTTGATGACATAGTTGTCAAAACGGCTCAAGCTTGCGACCTGATCGCAAACTTGGCCACGACATTCACGAACCTCTGAAGGTTCAACATCAAATTGAATCCCGAGAAATGTATTTTCAGGGTTTCGAAGGGGAAGCTGCTTGGATACATCGTGTCCGAACACGGCATCGAAGCCAATCCCGAAAAAATCATGGCCATCTCCAACATGGGCCCTATACGCAACATCAAGGGCGTACAAAGGCTCACCGATTGCTTGGCCACCCTGAGCCAGTTCATCTCTTGGCTCGGCGAGCGAGGGATGTGTAACACCCTAAAATTTGCATCTTTTGAAATAGAGCTAAAATGATTTATTTATGAATTTTTGTGCACATGAAATATAGGAAAATAAAAATTTTCATTAATTTAAAATTCATCATAAGGTTTAGCAACTGGTTGTGCATACATGTTGGTTCATAAAGTTTATCGTGATGAGTGGTGTTGATCCAAAACTCCAAAGTAATTTGGAGTATTTTTGAAAAGGGTTTGAAAATGGCTTTGAAATAAAAGAAAAGAAAGAAAACAAAATTAGAAAATAAAAGTATTTTTTAAAGTTGTAAAGTTTATCTTGGAAAGCCTAACAAAATTGTCCATTTTTATTTGAATAGGGAAGTATATTTGAAACTATACTTGAATTTGATTTGAATTTGGCTTATATTTGAAAATTAGAAATAGAAAAGGATTTGTTTTTGAAAAATCTTCCTTTCTTCCTTTTCGGCCCAGCCCTAGGATCTGGCCCGGCCTTTCTCCTCTTTCTCTTCCTAGTTGGCCTGCCCGGCGGCCCAGCCGCGCCTCCCCTTCTTTCTCCTTTTCTCCCGTGCCTGGCCTGCTTCGCACGGCCCACTCGGCGGCCCTCTCCGCGCGGCCCTTTCTCCATCCCGCTTTCTCCCGCACGCGCCCGCAGCCCAGCTAGGCAGCCCGCTCTGCTCGGCCTGCCCCTCGCGCCTACGCTCGCACCCGCACGCGCTTCCCTTTCCCCTCTCACTACACCGTTGGCCCACGCCATCAGCCGCCCGCACACGCCGCTCCTCTATCCCTCTCGCTGCGACGCGGGTCTCGCCCGTCAGCGCCGCGCCCCCTTCCCTTTCCTTTCTTCCTCGAGTGCCTTTCCTTCTTCACCGCTCGGCAATGGCGCTGCCCCTATGGCAAGCCGCCGCCGTCCCGCATGCAAGGCAGGCGGCCAATCCCTCCCGAGCGCCCTGCTCCCCTTCCTTCTACCGTGCCTCGCCCCGCCTATAAAGCACCGCGTTGCACCCCTTTCTTCTCCCTTTCCCCTGCTTGCACTCGAGCTCTCGCCGCTGACGCAAATCACCCACTCCGGCGCCTTGGACCTCGACGCCGATGACTCCCCGAGCTTCGCTGAGTTCTCCTACAGCCATAGCCGCCGCCGCCGTCGATGACCCGCCTCTGGAGCCCATCCCAGATGCCACGACCACCTTCAATAGACTTGTTGTGAGCTCCCTGTCCTTCCCCTGCCCTCCACTCATCGCTTTGTGCTCTGGAATGCTGTACCGGCGACCTCTAGACCCTGCCGGCCATGGCACCACCACAGAACCAATGCTCCGGCGTGTACCCTGCCTTGGATTTGCATCCATCGTGTTCGCGAGATCCCGTAGAACGTTTAGGAGTGCTTGGTTTGTCTCGGGAATGGCTAGAATCGCTCTCCCGACGTCCGCCGTCGAGCTTGGCTCGCCACCGGTCATGGCGGGATCGTCGGAGACAAAGAGCAGCGCCGGAGGATCACCCGCGCCGTTGGATCTACTGTCAGGATTAGATCTTACCAGTTCACTGTGTAATCGGTCCACAGCGAGCCATGGACTCGGCGCACTGTGCCTGCATCAGCGCGCGCCCACGCCACGTGGTGCACCAAGCCAGTCCCCGCGCGCCACGTGTCATCCAGTCAGCCGACGTGGTCAACATCCAGTCAAGCCATGCGTATTTTGCAGAAAAACCCCTCTGTTTTTGGTGAATCAACCCGCAGTCCGTAGCAGTTCAAATTAATTACAATTCAACCCTGTTTTTATTTGTTTAGGCCCCCGTATTTTCCAAAAATAGTATGCGCAGTTCAATAAACATGTAAATTCATATTTTATTGTTTTAATTCAAAAATAAGTTCGAGTTATTTATAGAAATGTCATTGAACCTTATTTCATGCGTAACTTTTGCATTGTAATTCCGATTTGATCCGTTCGAATTACGTTAGGACCGTATTTACGTTCTCTACGTGTTTATACTACTATTAGGCATGTTTTCAATATTTGAAATTAATGGGTAGATTCAATTTATTATTTGACTAAATGAAAATTTGTTTAAATCATAACTTATTCATTTTAACTCCGAAATAGTCCGTTCAAGTTGCGTTAGTTTCATAACGACGTGACCTACGCATTAGTATCGATATTTTCTATGTCAAAATCTCTAGAATTTCATGGTTTAAATCCCAACTTGAATAATAATTATGTCACTAGATTTATAAAAAAATGTAATAAATTCCACTTCGATTTTTAAAACCAAATATAAGTTTGACTTAATTCAACTTAAGTATTTTCTCTGAAATATCTTATACATGTTTTATATAATTATCAAAATAAATGAAGTCTGTGGTTTTGTTTTTAAAATAAATCTTTCGGTAGTTGTATCTTCTCAACCGTAGCTTCGATTAGCGTGCCTCTCGCGACTATGTGTTCGTAGCGATGCGTAGAATCGTATTTGAAACTCTTTTACTTATTTTTCTATGATTGGTGTACTATTCTAATATAGATGCAATTGTATGCTATGCATGTATGTGTATGGATGTTTGTGTGGTGTTCTACGATTACGTCTAGTCGGTGAGATATACGTGGTGATCTAGAAGAAGGACGTTGAAGATTAAAGCTTACCGAAGGATCGATGTGTAAGGCAAGTATAGCTTGGGACCATCTTTGTTACTTATTCACCTTTAATCACTTAATTTATATTGCATGTGTCTACCTTGTTGCCAATAAGGATATCCTAGATATTTGATATCTTGTACCTTGATACCTTTGGGGTATTGCATTGGGTAGTTTTTGCTAGTGCTTAACCAAAACCATGATCTTGTAACTTGACTAATGGTATATGTAATAAACATTAAAACGTGACTTTTTTGTAACATGGAAACAGGTGGCTGGAGTATTTAGCTACTTTCTAAATGCTTCAGATTCATCTCCCTAAGAACTTATCTGTAAGTGATCATTCAGGACTTACAGTACAGCTGTGAGGGTTATATGGCTCTGGCTTTAGCTCAGTACGAGGACCTTTTTAGCTTATTAGTGGCACAAGAGGAGGCGCTAGTTGGTATGTTTCCTTACCTGCTAGGGTGTGTGTACTGCGCTGCATTGCCCATGCGTGCCATTCCTAGAGGGGGGCCACATACGGTTAGACGGCTGAAACCTTAGCGGCCCTAACTTGTTAGACGAACCTTTGAAAGACATTATAGTGAACCCTGCTGACCTTTCCTTAGTAGTGGGTCAAAGGGCTGATCACCCTGGGCGAAGGGGTAAATCATGACTCACGGTGAAAGTGTACAACCTCTGTAGAGTGAACAGCCGTGCTCACGGACACGAGCGACCTTGGAATCCTTATGGAATAGAGATGATCACTAATGATTAATTGTTTATGCTATTCATTATTCATGTTTACCTGATCATGTGTTTATGGGCTTATGATAAATTTGTTCGTACTAAATTGCTTAAAAAGATGACCTATTAAAGCTAATCGCAGTAAACCAGTGTCAGCCTTTTGAGCCTCATGAACCCCATGTTATTTTGCTGAGTACGAGAAGTACTTACGCTTCCTTTACTTTTCTATACATTGGATAAAAATCCCGGATGAGTACCAAATTGCTAATCTAGAGGAGTTAGGCTTGTGGTCAACCAGTCAGTCGTCCCTATAGATTTGGAGTCTCCGCCTGAAGATCAGAGTTGTCTTTCCACTGTCTATACTCTAAGGTTATATTCTTTATACTAATACATTATGTATTTAAGTATTGTCTATTGATATTACTCTTATTTGTGGTTATATGTGAGATTTAATTTCCTGGGCTCATATATAGTAGGTGCGCATAGTAGGTCATGTATTCAATAAATCCATCAGGCAAGCAGATCGTGCTAGTAACACCTCGCCACGTCTGGTTGCAGGAGAAGACGAAAGCCATGACCTTGTCTTTGAAAACCACAGTGCAGATAACTCTGAACGATTCCTCCTCGTCATTCTCGCCAGCTGGAGCCAGAACGGGTAACACATGCCGCGCGTCTGGGGTGGAGGCCGCCATTAGGTCGTCGGGTATGCGGGGAATCATGACGTACCGGCGACGCAGGGGGTCGCAGACTACGATATCCTCGAATACGATTTTGATGGAAGGAGAAGGTGAAGTCGTCCGCTTGCCCGAGCGCGCGGGCTTCCGGGGCGGAGCGGTGGGGCGGCCCGACGGGGAAGAATCGTCGGTATCCGCTAGAAGTGATGTACCCGAGGATTGCAGGGGGGCGGAGGGACCGGAAGCGGCGGAGGAACCGGGGCTCGGAGACGATGCGGCGGAAGGAGGAGCAGGCGGCGGAAGGCGCGGGCGAGGTCGGCCGCGGCGTCGAGGCGCAGGAAGATGTCCTCCCAGATCTCGTCCGGGAGGACGGGCTGCGCCGCCGGGCCTATGGCGGACCGCCGTCGCGCTGGCGCTGGCGTCGACGCCGTCGCGCGGTCGGCCGCCTGTGGGAGAGGAAGGCGGGCTCTGGCTGTCCGGCGTCGCGCCGACGTCAATGCCATCGCGCTGTCGGCCAGACGTGGAGGAGGACGGCGGGCTCTGGCGGACCGCCGTGGCGACGACGCCGATGCCATCGCGCCGTCGGCCGGCTGTGGGAGAGGACGGCGGGCTCTGGCGCTACGGCGTGGCGCCGACGCCATCGCGGGGTCGGCCGGCCGACTGTGGGAGAGGAGCGGAGCGGAAACGCCCGAGACGGCGATTTGTGATTAGGGATTCGGGGTTCGGTGATTTAGGGATTCGGGTTCGGGGATACACCATTCGGCGGGGCTCTGGAGTACGGTGTGCGCGAAGCCGTGAACACTCGTTGCCAGTTCCCACACTTATCACTCAGTCACGTAACACGTCTGTACGTCTACCAGTAATACTACCTCTGTTTCAAAATAAATAATTTTCTATCTATATATCTCTTTGAAACAAAAAAAAAAGCTTCTCAATAACTTCTTTGAAATTCTTATAGACCGAACCAAGGAGTCTTGGAGAAAACTTAACATGAACTATAGCCTTATTATTTTGTTTTCCTTACATTTCTTTCAAAGATATCCTATGTTTTTTCTGCATTGCTTCTGCCTAAAACTTTCCTTTGTTTTGAGATCCTATAGGATTTAAAGTTGTAGAGTATTTCATTCTTAGAGCAACTCCAATAGTGTCTTAAGAGTTTGGTCATAGAATGTTTTATTCAATAAAAGATAGAGAATGATAAGCTAGCTCTTCATGAAGAGCTAAGCTCACTTATTTTTCTAAGATTCATGTGTATATATATGCTCACATATTTTTCTATACTACATGTGGTTATTCCATTTTCAACTTTTTCTAAAAAAAATCATATAAGCTAGCAAGTTGACTCTATTGTTAAAGGTATCCTTACATTTTTCCTATTTCTGTGTTCTGTAAATCTTTGTTCCAAAGAGGACCATACACTTGCCGACAAATCTTGCTCATCCACGTAAGAAAGATCAACAGATACCACCACCGTGGCTGAATTATTCTGATTTTGAATAACTGGTTTGAGAGCAGCATGCAACACATAGGATTTCTTTATTAACTACAAAGTTTTTTGAGAATTTTTTAACTACAATTCATTCTCCTTTGAAGCCAATAGCGCAATTGTACAATTTAGTCTAGAGATCTCATAACATGACGTGCACCAATACCACCATCGCGATAAGATTCACTACAAGAAGGCGGAGAAAGGTGTCGTCTTGGCTCCCCTTCACAGCTCTAGCTTGCTGGCCAGGTACCAGGAGTGCATGGCCAAGCTGCCAAACGACATGATGTTGGCTAGTGATGACAGCCCGTGGATCATCCCAAACTTCTTGTTCATCGCAGCAAGGGTGGGGTTGGATTTAGCCACCTGCTGATTCTTTGACCATCCGACTTCCTCGCCGATGCTCAGGTCCCGCTCAATCTTGTGCCTCTTCTTCATCATCTGCAAGCAGTGGTTAACCATGTCAAGTGAAATTACATGAAAGAACATGTAGGATAAGAGGGCATGTTCTAGTTAGTCTCAAATTAGTTTCTGACTTTCAATTTGAACTTTGGTTGATAGTACAAAATAAAACATAAGTGTTGTGCAATTGTCATATTGTATACAAATATTGCATTGGGAAAAATTAAAGCTAACTGTTGCATGATCTCATAGTACAAAATGTTGGACTGGCCATTGCCAGCAACATCTGGATTATGTGCTGAATTTTTGGGGAAGCCTTTCCGCAGATATAAAGAATATTTGGGTAAAACTTACCCCTTAAAGACATATATTACCATGATGAAAGAAACATGAACATGTTTGGCCACCAGATATTGATTGTTCACAGAAATGTAATAAAAGGAATTTAGCCTGGTAGAAGGCACCCTATGCTTGCCAAACTGTACACGGGCTACACTGGGTTCACAGAACATCACAATCACTTGCAAGATCCATAAAATAACATAAAATTTGATCCAATAGCATTATCCTATATCAACTAGCATTCACACTGGGTCGAGTAAGACACCGTAGTGTCAATCTATCATCTAAAGCCTACCTTCAATTCTAGTTCGAATAGCAAGATGTTCAAGAAAAAAATAATAGTTTTTTCATTGCAGTATTACAGAGTTTCGACCAAAGTATATAATTTTTTTGATATATTGGCACTACGGTGTCTTACTCTGTAACTCCAGTTTTTTTAGAAGCTACACAAACAAAACAAAAACAATAAATTGATAGCAGATTTGCTCACCGAGGGTTGAGCAATAAGTATGGGCGCAAACCAAACCAAGACGGGCAATCTCAGCTTTAGAGTAGATTAGCATGAAACGCCTTTTAAGACTCAAGCCCAGAAACAAAAAGAACCCTATGGCCTGATTTATCACCTTCCAGCAACTAGGTCACTACTATGAACTTATACGAAAGCTATCAATTTTACATAAGCAGTTAAACTAAACCAACCTATTTAGTCCACTGACTACATACAGATTTTGCATTCAACTGTCAATAATGAAACAGTGACTGTTATTCTATTCTCTAATTGCACGCCAGATAAAGCATTACTCAATTTCCTACAAGTTAAGATAAGGAGTAATCAGTGACTTATTTAGAAACACGTATACATTCCTGCAATCATATCATAGTCATCACAAATTCTGAATTCTTGTAGCATTTGTTCTATTTCTGGCAAGCTATCTTCTACAAAATTAATAACATTCACTCACTGTGTAGTGTGAGACATTGTGATAATGTGATGCAACCTCTGTCATTTAACACTTAACTTGGACTGTAGTATCAATTATGAAGTATATTTATTGATTAGAGGAATAATTGTAATGGTATTTTTCACCAGAATATTATAAAGGATATCTGGATTGAAATACCCTTGGCTTTTAATGACAAAAACTATTCAACCACAATGCTCAAGAAACCATTTTCGTAAACAATTGTGAATCATAGCAATAGCAACCATATTATACAAGGCATATTTATGTTGAAGGTATATGTTTTAAGCTGCAGATAATAACATCAAATGATTTCACAAGGTATATTTGTCATTTGAGTGAAAAAAATAGCTTTCTACTGCTTGTCCTATTTTGTTGAAGAGGTTACACACAAGTAAAAGCAATAACATAAATGCTGCCCTGTTCGAACCAAGTATATCCAAAATTAGCTTTCCAATAGAACATCACAAAATCAGCCAACAGCATGATATTCCATGACTTGGCTGCTAGTATTAGGGAACACGAAATCAATCAACATAAAACTAGATGCAACGAACTAAAAAGCATCGTTATTAGTTAAATTAACTACAAGTTATTGCATTCACCTGACAGTTATAGCACAGCACTAATCAGTTTTTATCTCTAAAGCATTACTCGATTTCATACAATTGCATCTAATAATTAGTGATGAGCATTTACTAACCGATCCACACTTCTATGGTCATACCAAGTCTACAAACCATGAATCCACAACTGCCATGACAAATCCTAGGTTCTCATAAAATTCGTTCCTCGATGGAAAGAGACCAAAGCGTAAGAAGAGGAATTCCGCTCACCTCGATGGTCATGGGGGTGAAGACTAGCAGGTTGGAGAGATTGCAGCCGAGCGCCGAGAGGAGGAATCCAAGCTGGTAGCGCTCCACGGTGGACGCCGTCTTCCACGGGTGGAGGTACGCGAAGGCGGCGACGGAGATGGCTGCGCAGGCGGAGATAAGCGTGAAGTAGGCCGGGAACATCTTGCTCTGCAAGTTGCCGAACATGTGCCTCGGCAGGTTCCTACAAACAACAAGATTCAACATCAGCACAGAACAAAGCACCGCTTCAGCTGCTCATTGAATCGATGGAGTTTTTGGGATCAGATTTTCCCCTCCTCGGGATTTTCGGTTCTTAGATTAGATTGGGGGAAATTAAAGACGAGGGAGGAGAAAGATGGGATTTTTAGAGCCGGGAGCTTGCTTACTTGAACATGATGATGCCGCCGATGAAGGTGGCCCAGAGGGCGGCGCCCCAGGAGGTGGCGAAGGAGAGGACGTGGGCCAGCTTGGCGGCGGTGACGGCGCCTGCGCCGGAGGGGGAGCCGAGGAGCGCCTCGGGGACGAAGAGGACGCCCGCGGCAAAGAAGCACACCGCCGCCACGAACCGCGTCGCCCACCCCATCGCTCGCCGCCGATCGCCGGTGTGGAGAGAGGAGAAGGCGTCGACGGAGGGTTTGGGAACGGGATCGGGGTAGCTGGGGAGAGATTACGGGGAGGGTAGGAGAGGACGTTGGACAGTGGTTGTTGGTAGACGAATGCTAATGTCTAGTAGTAGGATGAAAAATGGGACACGAAGACCTTGGCAGCCCAAACGTGGCCCGGCCCCACGTCCGTTCTTCCGCGAGGCGAGGCAGCCCAAACCGAGTGGCCCACGGGCCACGGGAGGAGGAGCAGGTGCAGTCGCTGCCATCCCCGTAGCACTGTTGAATGTTCTATACTTCTATAGGTCCACCACAGTGCACCGCGCAAAAAGCTGAGGAAAAAAAACGATTTTCCTTCCTAATTCATAAAATTAACTGTTTAATGTCCCCTAACTTTTAGAAAACATTCATTTTTGCACTGTGATCGGTTTTGACGGTGGTTTTGCTGATATGGTGCCACGTCAGAAGGGATAAATTGAATTAAGGTTGTTTGAATCCTTTCATTTTGGAGGAATTGGAATCTACGTAATAATATTTGGTTTGGAATTTGATATTCCACGACTTTCTCAAATTCACATATAAAACTATCTCAAATTCATAGGATGAGAGATAGAGAATAATTCTATACATCACTATGTTATGTTTCTACTCTCTAACTTATAGCACGCTCTTTAACTCGCTTCCCTACATCATATAAGTATCTCCCTTATATGGTTAACAATAATATACAAATATATTTCATATACAACCGTATTAGCTTAGTTAATCTATACCTAGAATATAATTATTAGAGTGAATTCAATTCAAGAATCCAAACGGGCGCTAAGTCGAATGTTCTAGGAATCTACACCCGGTCATTAGTTCCTTTGAAATGGTGTTCATCACTGCTCCATCATCATAGGAATCTACGCCCTCACTGTGAAATGTTTGTTTTGTAACAGTAACACGCCGCCCTAGCGATCGATCGAAGAGGAAACTTGCATTGGTAGTCCA